TGTCAAACAAACAAACAACCGACCGACCGGATGTGGGTTTGTTTTCAAGGTTTTGGAAAGCTCGACAAACGCGTTTAAAATATTATTCTCTGAAATCTATTCTTGTAAAAAAAAAAAAATGGACGCCTTTACAGAGAGTGACGCCCCATAAAACCGCGTGGAAAATTTTTCTTACGAAAAATAATTAATAATAATAATAATAATGATAATGATAATGATAATAATGATAATGATAATAATAATTCAACAAAAGAAATTAAAATTTATGTTTCGTTTTTTTTTTCTGCTTCTGCTTTTCTGCTGTTGCACAAATAAATAAATAATTATTTATTACGACGTCGGTAAATGTGATAATAATGATAATGATAATGATAATAAAGGGTATATATATATATAATACTTAATGTGATCTATTATCGACTATAATTTTCCCTATTACGTAATAATAATAATAATAATTTTTATTATTTATTAATAACGTGTAACTTTTTAAAAAAAAAAAAAAATTCTAACGAAACATTTTTTTTTTTTTTTTGACAAACAACAAACACGCCACCCTAAATTTGTTTTAATAATAATAATAATAAATAAAATGTTTTACTTTCTTTAATGCATGCTATTAAACATTAAAAAAAAAAAAAAAAAAAAAAATAGTTAAATCATGATTTGAAGGGCATGAAAGGACTTTTAATGGTGGTCAATTATGTTTCATTACAACTTTACAACTTTCCACGAGTTTATTAAAAAAAAATAAAAATAATAATAATAATGATGATGATGATGATGATAATAATAATTTTTTTTTTTTCGTTTTTGCTGTTATTTTACGGAGGGGGAAGGGACGGAAGGAAGAAGGAGAGAGAGAGGGAGAAGGAAAAACATTTAAAAAAACATTTTAATTTTTTTTCTTTTTTTTCTTTCTGCTACTCGTGTTGTTAGTTTGTTGGACTGTTTGTTGTGTTGGTTGTTGTTTTTTTTTTTGTGATTGTGTTTACAACGATTGTTATGTCTACAAATATATATTTATATATATTATTTTCCATCGCGGTTTTTTTTACGGTTAATTTATTTGCCATTTTTTTATTTTTTATTTTCAAAATTGGTAATTGGCATAAAAGTTTCGATTGTTTGTATTTCAATGGCGTATAAATAGAGAGAGAGGGGGGTGGGAAGAGAGAGAGGGGAAAAGAGAAAGAGAGAGAGAGAGAGAGAATGTTTTGTTTTTATCGGTTAAAATTGTTTCCATTTCATTTTCATTTAATTTTCGAATCATTGGCCGACAGCAGCAAACATTTTTTTTTTCGTTTCCCCCCTTTTCCTCCTTCCCCTCCGTTATTTCGCATGTTTCATTCATTCATTTTCTAATACCACGATCGGCATATTAATGACACGAAAATGAAAATAAATATTAATATAAATCCTTTTTAAATTTTTTCTTCCTTAAGTGTAAAGCTTTTTTTTTTTTTTTAAAAAAAATTTCTCGTATTTATAAAATTTAATAATAATAATAATAATAATAATAATAATTTATACTACGGTTGTAAAAAAGGCAAAACTAAACGAGACTAAACAAGATCATAAAAAAAAAAAATGATTGAACAGACCGCCCGCGGAACAAGTTTTAAATAAGAAAAAAAAAAAAAAAGGGAAAAACGTTAAAAAATGACGAAATTAAAATGTAATAAACTATACAATATAGACTAAATTTTTAAAAAAAACTAACGATAACCGTTTTTTTGCTATATAGTAATTATAGACATTGATTCTATATAGATTTTTCTTTTTTTTTATAAATTTAATTTGTTTCTAATTAATTATAAATTATTATTATTATTATTGCGTATTTTACCAACTTGTGGAAAAAAAAAAACGAAAAAAAAAGAAACGATGACAGTCGCGTTGAGAAAAAGTTAATAATAATAATAATATTTGAATTATAGCGCTTTTTTTTATTATTTATATTACACTCTATAAAAATATTTGTTGTTGTTGTTGTTGTGGTTGTTGTTGACGAGTGGAAATTAAAAAAAAAAAAAAAACAACAAAAACAAACGAAAATTTATTTATTTTTTTAACACGTCGTCTATAATTTTAATTTTATAGCAATTTTATAGTCGTTTGCACTTTTTTTAAAATGTAAAAAATTATCATTATCATTATTGTTTATTATCATCATCATCATCATTATTATTATTATTACAATTATTATTAATTAATTTTTTATTACTCCAATTGATATCGATAAGAAATTATTTAAAATGTTTCGTCGTTTAATCAACGTTTAATAAATTTATTTATAGTTATAGAGACTATAGTTTATAGCTTATAGTTTAGTTATAGTTATAACTTATAGTTTATGTTATACTATAATCGTAAAGCTTTAATTATAGCAATTTTTTTTAATGTTTAACTTACGTCTTTTGGGTTAAAACCTAAAAAATTAAAAAAAAAAATATAAAAAAATTTTGTCGTTTTTCACGCCTGGGGGGCGGGTGATAATAAAAACTCGGGAGTTATCACCGATTGTTATTATTACCGATAGCAAAATAATAGCAAATAAACGTAAAAAATGAAAATTTGCTGCCGTAACTAATCCGCCATTTTGTTTTTGTTTTTTTTCCAATATTGTTAACCTATTATAAATAAATATTATCGCTTTCGTTCCCACGTTTTTTTTTTGTTTCGATTAAAAAAATTTGTTTTATATTTCGAATAACGTATTAATAAATTATTAAACTTATTTATTTATTAATTAATAAATATTTATGTAAATGTGTAAAAAAAATAATTTATTTCATTTATTTCTAAGAAAAAAAAAAATTTAAACTTGTTGCAAGGACGACCGTTTTTTCTTTATTTTTCTTTTTTACAATAACGACAATAATTTTTTGTTTGTTGTTTGTTAAAATAAGTTGTGAGTGAATGAATGATTGATTGATCGATCGAATCGTTTAATAATAATAATAATAATATTTTAACAAATGATTATTTCCCACAAAAAAAAAAATTTCAAAATGTGCTTATCGTAAATATTTTGTTTGTTTCGTTTGTCAGTGAAATTTTTTTCCGTTTGTCGCCATGGGTGAAAAATTATAACAACAACTTTTTTAAACCCCCCCCCCCGCTCCCCCCACCGAAATTACGGGTTTATCATTATTTTATTATAAATAATTAATGATTTATATGCAACGGTCAAATATTTTTTTTTAAAAATAATATTCGCCTACGCTCGATTGCATTTAATTTTTTTTTTTTTTTATTAAATATTATTTATTATTATTATTATTATTTCGTATAATTTATTTAAATATATGTGTATCTTACGGTAAAATTCAAATAGAATATTGTAATTTTATTAACCTATTAAAATTTTTTTATAGCAACAACAAAAAAAAGAAAAATTGTAGTTTAGGAGGTGGTGTTAGGATTGTTGTTATCACCTCGAGGTTTGTTTTATTTTTTTTGCCATTTTTTTTAATTAATTTTTTTTTACGTGCAGAAATTAAAATTTGACGTGTTAAT